ACTGTCACAAAGAGAATTAATCCAATGTTTAACTTCTTCTTGACTGAATGTTCTCTTGCTCAGTGTTAATTCTTGCGAGTTGTGGCTTTAATATTGATTGAATTAGTGAGTTATTGATTGTTACCCTTGATTCAGTCATTAAACTCCTTGTCTTAATAAGCTATGAAGGCTCAAGGCTAATTCCACGGAAGCGTCATCCATATTTTGGTAGTAAAACTCTTTCACATCAATCTTCTCTTCTCAATTCTTTGTTCTATTTACAGCGATTAAAAAAATATAACACATAAACAATAGCATTAGGCATTGTTGTCAAACTCATGAGTTGATTCTCTGAGGTTAACATTTTTACATTTTTAACTTATAAAATCATGTTGAGTCACTATTAAACTCGGGCTAGCTATGGAGTTGATTGAGCTTATGAGTCCAATCACCGAGTTTACTATTTGTATGTTTTTAACTTATAAAATCGTATTTACTCATTCTTAAACTATTGCTAAATTTTGGATTTAGCTATGCCTAATGACTTCATATGTGAATTTTATAAAAATTTCCTTGTAGAATATGGTAAATTATGAAAGTTGATGGATTTAATTTTAATTATTTGGATACAAAATATATTTAAATGAAATTTTTGTTATTTTTTATAATTTTATTTATTTAATTATATACTTTTAATTCCAATTTATTAATAAAAGTAAATTTTTACAAGTTTATGATTCGGGTTCATATTCCTATCATGAGTTTGACTAAACTCATGAGTTTGACAATCTTAGCATTAGGAGTTAAACCAGAAACTACGGAAATAATTCTTCTTTTAGAATTCACAATTGTTAGCTTGATAACTTGTGTTTGACCAAAAAAAAAAAATCTTGATAACTTGTGCTTTTTATAGGATTGGTTAGGAATTTCAGCAAGCAAGTAGGCTATTTTGAGATATGACCTAAGCTAGATTCCTCTATTGCTGCATTTACAGCTTAGTTTCTTTTGATAAGCACTACGACATGCCTTTTAGCTGTAAAGGTTAAAAGAGTAAGGGGAAAAAAAATACTTTATGAAATGAAGAATTCAACTGAAACCATGCATAAACAAAACATATCACAAGACTACTTTTGCCTTTGTGTGTTTGTGTGTTTTGATAAGCTTTGCTGTTACACACACTCGTCATGAGACCAATATATACATGTATCGAAATTATGACAATAAGAATTAAAATGAAATGAGCTCAACACACCTCTAAACATGTACGGCGTGAGAAATAAAATCTCCTCCAGATTTTGGCTTTGTGCTTTTTTTTTTTTTTTGGCTAAGCAAATGTATCCTCCTATTAGAGGTAATACTGTTCGAGATGCTGTCAGGCACTAAATATGAATACCTCTTCCAATAAAGATTCGAACCTCGGTTTGTTATTTTGCGAAAGACTAGCCCCTCTGCTATACCCTCACATTAGGCTTTGTTCTACTTGAATAGAGAGTATGTATGATGGAAACAGATTTTCTATTTTGGCCCAAGAGATGAAACGGCCTAGCATCTATTGAATAGAGAAGTTAATATTATTTTAATTATATTGTGTTTTTCTCTTATATACCGCATCTATTCATTTTCAGAAGCCACTCAAAATTATCAAAAGTATGTTTTTTTAAAAAATATTTTGATCGTCTTCAAAATTTTGATAAAATTTTCATAAAAAGCTATTAATTTTTTTCTAAAAAAAATGATACTTTCTTATTTTAAACAAATGCATTGTAAGTTTTTTGGACAATAATATCGACTGTAAGTTGGCTATTGTAACAATTAAATACCAACAATAATTATTGTCAAATAATACATGATTCTTTGATAATATGTAGGTTCTATATTTTCTCTCAACTTATTATTAGTTAAGAATAAAGTTGTGTGCCTGACAAGAAATTGAAAAAGCTTGGGATCTTGAATTTCCTGGTTATGTATAAGAGATTAAAAAAAACTCTAAATTTTTCTATCTAACGACAACTAAAAGGAGGAGACACAATTCTATCATGAAATTAAGGGAAGATGGTGGAGAACGGACGGAAGGACAGAAGGTGATGTTACAAACTGCTTTAAAGCTTCTAATTCTAAATCATTTGATGATGTATTGAGTTTTGCCAGTTATAAAATAGATTATTCTATATAAATAGAGCACTAACAACCCCTTGACAGCATGAAGTCAAAAAGAGGCAGTTGTTGAGCTACGTCGTTCAAAGGCTCCAGGACCAGATAGGTTTGGTGGCAAATTCTACTATTCCTCTTGGCAAGAAATTAATGAAAATATGGTGGCAATGGTACAGGAATTCTTTGAAGGGTTGATTTGAATAAGACAAATATAGTCTCGATTCCAAAAATTGACAAACTAGAGGAAGTTGGTCACTTTCATCCCATTGGATTGTGCAACTTCTACCGTAAAGTAGGGAAAACTGATATACAAGTGCTTATAGTTTTATTGAATAGGAGAATTACAACAAAGTCTCAAGAAAGAAAAAAAAATTACAAAACAATTTCCAGATGTCATCATTCTTCATTCTAAAAATTGTTATTACAGGTTGCTCAGGTTGTTATTAGAACTTTTTAGTTTTTTTTTTTTTGGAACTTGATTGTAATTCTCCTTTATTGAATTTTGATTGGATCCTTATATTTTTTTTTTTTATTCAATCTTTATTGTTTGCACAGTTTTAATCTTACTCCTTCCGTTATAACACCGTTACTTCAATAGTGATGAGACGCCGCCACATCTTCCCTCAGCTCCACCATCTCCTCCCTCCACTTCTCTCTCCTTCCTTTTCCCACTCAACTGTAAATCATTCTCTCTCACTGTTCATGTATTCTCTCTCCCTTTCCTCATATCTTCGCTTGTAATAATATCCTTCACCTCCTCCATTTTTGCTAATCTTATAAACCCATTCATTTGCCGGCCGTTCTTCATAGAGAGAAGGACGAAAGAAGGTACCGGTGGCTTAACCAAAATTTTTGTCTCTTAGGCTACTATACCCATAAGTCCAGTGACAAAATTTCTGTGGAATAGAAATTTTTGTCTCCGATTTATTTCAATTCCTCATAACAGTGGCTCTACCTAACATTTCAAGAAAAACCAATCCCCTAATTAAAAGATTCCAATGTTCTCTCCTTTCATATTTTCTCTGCAACAGAATCAAAGCCCTCCTCATTTCATCTCTCCCCTCTCTCTCTCTCTCTCTCTCTCTCTCTCTGAATCATCCCTGCTGTTTCATATGCTTCACCAACTGCAGAACATGCAAAATTTAGAAGACCAAGCCATCTTGGTCGTCCCATCCAAGAAGCAAGTCCAAACCCGGGAATTCCTTCCATAATGAAGTTCATTCATTGCAAGTCAACCATTTCGTCTCTTCTATCTACTTTATGGCATTGGTTCTGCAAGAATGGACGATCGAAGAAGGAGAAGGGAATTATACAAGAGGTGATAAAGATGATGATGGTAGAGAGAGGGAGAGAAAATACATGAACAGTGAGAGAGATAATGGTTTTCAACTGAGTGGGGAAGGGAGGGAGGGAGAAGCGGAGGGAGGAGACGGTGGAGCTCAGGGAAGACGTGGCAGCACCTCATTCCTTGAAGTAACGGTGTTATAACGCAAGGAGTGAGATTAGAACTGTGGAAACAATAAGAATTGGATAAAAAGAAAACAAAAATATAAGGATCTGATGCAAAAATATAAGGACTTGCATATCAGTTTTCCTGTAAAGTAATATCAGAAGTCCTTGCTAATAGATTAAGACCTTCTTTGTTCATTTATGCTTCAGTTAAGCCTCAAATATTCCGTAGTCTCAAAAGACTTCTCCTAAAATGTTAAGCATAATTTCTCAAAAAAAAAAAGAAAAAAGAAATCATTTCGTAACTGTAATTTCAAAAATGACACTTTTGCCTCAACCTAAAATATGGTAGTAATACAATTTTATATTGATGTGTCTATTATTATTTTTTTTGGCCCTTGATTAACGTTTAATAACAGATTTAGCCTTTACTCAACAGGCCTTATATGTTTGGTGAAAAAAAGGGGGGGCCTTATGTTACAGTCAACAAAGTAAAACAAGGAAATTATGCAAGACTCAATCAGATTTTTTAAGCTAAACTGGAAATTATTACTTAAAAATTCATACACAGAAATATATGTGTGGGTGTGTGTGTGTGTGTGTGAGTGCGTATTCATAGGTATGTATATCTGTAACAAAGATCCAAATGACAACTGGCGGTACAGTGACAGTAAAGATCAGACGGTAATAGCAGAGGAGAGACGGGGAAAGAAAACGAAACGAATAATCAGAGAGGACATGCAAAGAAGGAAACACGGGGCAGCAAAATTGTCTGCCATCTCTGAACCCTATAGGCTGCCTTATAGCCAAGGTTTCTTATAAGCCCAATCGAAGCCTCTGGCCCATTACCCATAATTTGGCTAATAGCTCAACTCCATATTAAACTAGGGTGCATTCATGGCAGTGCGTAAGTTGCTTTCACACGAATAAGGAAACATCCGCATTAAAATCCTCTTCACAACTTTATTTGGTGTGCATTTCAATATTATTCAATGGGTTAAAATGCTTTTTTTTTTCCAGAGGAAGCATTCTCATACGTGCCACGGCCACCTAAAAAAGCAACTGAGGAGGAAAAGAAAACGTAAAGAGAAAAAAAATATTAATGAGGCAAGGTGAAATGAAACCGAAAATAATAATAATAATCATGTTTCCAAGAGACATTTATTCAAACAAAGATCTGATAAGAGAAGGCAAATAGAGAACATGGAAGACATTATTACAAAGTCAAATGCAGACATACAAGCTTTCACAATTTGGTCCCTGGAACATTTTATTTTGGGATGATATCATAAAGAAAAGCCAACGTAGCTAGAGTTGTGCATATGTCTCAGGGTCATACACTACACTGCCATTGTCGTTCAAATATGAAACCACACACATACGAGTACAAATGTAGCCCATATGATGAAGACATGTGGCACCAGATCAGGGCGCACCATGAATGATATTAATATTGTTAGGGCAAGAGATCCTGAAATAACATCTCCTGTAAATTCGTAGATGCATTTGCATCCAATCAGAGCTCGCATCCTTATAGGACTTTGCTCCATCAATAATGCATCAGGGTAGTGCTTCTCCACTATATCAGTCAACTTTCGAATCACAATATCAAAGCCTTTTTGACGAGGAACCAGCCTGCATGCGTAAGCATCAAATCAATTAGCAAGTTGGAACATGCTGGTTTATTCTTGTGCCTTTGGACAAGATGTGCATGGTTTGGTTTTAAACTAGTGCTGCGTTTTGACGGAAATAATACAAGTAGATTTGACTGATATGGAAAGAAAGCAAAGGACTGTTGCTGAGTTGTGGAATGCTAAAGGGTGGGAGGTGGCGAAGAGGACACCTGAAGGTGGTTATTTGAAGGTTAATTGTGATGGTGCCTATGACTCTGTGAGAGTTGCAATTAGTATAATCTGCAGGAATAGTGAGGAAAGGTTTCTTTGGGGATTTGGAGATAAGGTGACAGTTGTCTGTGCTTTTTCTACTAGATGTTCTCCACTAGGCGTGAAGCCCGTGTTAACTAGTATAAAAGATATTTTTTCTATTAGTGATAAACTTGGTATTTCTAAAGCTGTATTGGAAGTGGATTATTCTGAGTTGGAAGAAAAAATCGGTAGAAGGGGCTAATTGGAGGGGGAGGTGGGAATTGTAGGATCTCATTTAATGCCTTAACAGTGAATGGTGCTCTAGAAGTTACTCTTGTTCCTAGAAGGGCTAACAACCTGAGGCAGTAGACTGGATTATTATAGGGTGAGATGATTTGATGATGTGAAAGATGCAAGGGTTACATGGAAACGGAGGATAAAATTCAATCATTAAAGGTCAATTTTTTGGTAGAGTAAAAAGCAAATGAGTGAATTTGATCATGAAATTTGCTATGAAGCTAAAGCTCATCCTAAGGTTTATAACAAGTCTTGGATCATGAAATTTGGATGTGAGTTAAAAGTTATAATTTCTCAAATTCAGAACAAACAATTTGAAAACTGCAGTTTACCAAATGAATAGTTCTTTTCCAACGGATTCCCTATAATATTGGTCAAGGTCATGAAATGAAGACAAGGAAGGAGTTACTGTCCAATTTCTCAAAAAACAAGGTTGGTGTATTTGATGATCAAACAAGGTTTAGGAGCTTCTAAAGACTCACAAGCTCATGTGTTATAAGGAAGGAAAAGAAAACCTACAACGTTTTCAACATTTGGCATGCACTCAAAGCATATTTTAAGGTCCAACTAAGTCCAAGAACATAAAATTTAGATTTTAAAACAAAAAGTTGCGATTTTTCAAATTTTGCACAGAAAGTCTGGAAATTACATTTTTACCAAATGAACAATGCGTCTTCCCTTGGCTTTTCTACTATATTGATCCGAATAATGAACTGCATTAAGTTGTTTTATCTATTGAGAAAAGCTTTAGATAGAGATTTGAGCCACCTTAAAATGACATTTTAGAATTAATCATGAATGATCAAATTTCATTGAAAACTTTAGAATTTCCAAAAGAATAGAAATCCAAAAATCAAATTTTTTATTTTGTCAGGATTTTTATATTGGCTGAAGTGGTTTTCAAATTGTCTTCAATGCTCATGTGTGCGTGTGTGTTTAAAAGTAAGATAAGGTAGGAGCTGCTGTAGAATTTTCCAGAAATTCAAGGGTTGGTTTATTTGAAAACTAAACAAGGTCTAGGAGTTGCAATAGATTTGAAATCATGTGTTGGATGGAAGGAAAATTAAACATAACCTACAACAATTTCCCCATTTTCCCCATTTCCAGCCAAGAGGAGATGTATAAATTTGGGCTAATTACTTGAGATGATTTGATGATGTAAATGATGCAAGGTCTAGTATGCATTCTTACATGGAAATGAAGGATAACATTCAATCATTAAGGTTCAGATGAGTGATTCTGACCAAACAAATTTGCAACTCAATAAGGTTTAAAATAAGTCCAATATCACCAAATTTGGATGAGTGAGCTAAAGTTATGAAGTTCTAAAATCCGTTAAGAACAGACCAAACAGAAACCATAGCTTGGATCCTCTCCACCAGAGCTCCGCCGCAAGATCACCGTAGAAGAGAACCCAGGCTCTGTGATAATACCTCATTACAAACTAGTGCATGTATTTCTGTTGCACAAACTCACCAAGCAAATAGAGAAACAAAGCAAAGTAGAGAAACGAAGGATTAAAAGATTGAGAAAAGAAATTCACTGACCTTGTGAGCTGAGAAATCCTTGGACACTGAGGAGAAGGCATTGCTGTTACAGGTATAGCGGCGGTTGTGGCGGCTGTGTGTAATAAATTAATTGAAGTGCATAAAGAGAAGCAAATTTATAAGAGGGGTTTGATGATAACTCATTCTTATTACAAAGCTGGGGACGACATGCGTTGTATCTAGTAAGAAACTGATGGTTCCTGTTAATTAGTGACTTCCTTGGGGACCTGTTGGCAATTAATCTTTTGTCAGTGTTGGACAGTTTAACTGGATGTCAAAGTAAAATATAACTCAAATAATTAACTGCAGTAAATTCCACATTTTTATTTCAAACAAAAATCTGGACTTGGGAGCGTGGTTAAAGAAACCAAACAGTGAAATAAATTGAAGAATTTTTAGAGTCAAACTTCATCCATTTTATCTGGTGTCAATAATTTACTTGGACATGTAAAGAGAATTGGGAAAAAGGCAAAGGCCGTAAAGAGGAAGGAGATTAGTAACAGCAGGAACAGAGATTAGTCATACATATGAACTTATACCCACACATATTGAAGCAGTTCTGTTCACAAAACTAGAGATTTTTAATTTGAAGCAAATTAAGATAGATAGAAAGAAAGAAAGGTACATATAAACAACATGAGTAGCAGAAGCAGAGATAAAAGTGATGCTGGTTGACCTGAGGGGGCTGAAGAGAGAATAAGTGAATGATGCAGAAGAAGACATCTTGAGATTTTGAGCTATCTGCTTTGGTTGCTCTGAAGAGAAATTCGAACTAAAGAGAAAGGCATTTGGAATGAGAGCTGGGGATGATGAAGCAAGAATTATAATGGATGATTATTTCTTTGGTCAACGATAATGTGGCCAGTTATTAATGAATTAGTTTATTTCCTATGGGCAGCGTTCACGTTGACGTTAACAATAATGCCAATGCAGATCACGTAGGTGGACTACTCCTTGGATGGATACAGATTAACTACACCTTGGCTTGCAATATAAAGAAATGTTGTACTTAATTTTAAATTGAATATTTAATTACCTAATTTTTTTTGCAGCAATATAATCATGAATGTAATGCTATATATATTGATTATTATAAATTGTAAATTTACAAATCTATTCTGATGATATTTTATAATTGTTAAATTTTTCTATGCGTGATATTTTCTCCAGATTTTAGTTTGAAAATATCTCAACTTTTTATATTGAAACTATAAGCTTTAGGTGCAAAAACAAAACGTAGTAAAAAAATAGAGAAGAACATGCACGAGTATTAGCAGAAATTCAATCCAAAAGTTCCTAATTTGCAAAAATATATATTATAAATTTGTATTTCTATTACTATATTTCAACAGACTGATTGAATAGTTAAAAAGGAAGGTGGCGTACGTGTATCAAAGACTAAGAAAGGTGGTTCAAGAACAAGAATATGGATTCGCCAAAGAACCATAAAGAAATGAAGCCATCTGTGCGTGTGTAACGCCGGTGCTTACTAGATTTATAAATTTGACTTATACGACCAGACGACATTACAATTCATAAATAGCCAATGAAACAATATCAATGGATAGATGCCAAGTCAAAGGAAGAAGGTCATGTAACATGGAATCACTCTCTCTCTTACATGAAAGAAAATTATTTGCAAACTAATTATCTGATAGAGAAAAGCAAACATAACTTACAAAGTTGCATGCCTTTATTAATTGCATCCCACCTACTCCTCAAATATGACACTCCGCTCTTGCGCGCACACATATATATAATATTTTTTGTGGTCCAAGCTAAGTACATGAACAGAAAATTAAACCACATTGCTGGTTGAATTACCAATCTGAATATTGTCTGCTGAGAACCCAGATTATTGTTGTGAGAATCCGCTCCGTGACGGACGAGGTAAAGGAGGATGTTTGTCGCTGTCATCATCATCATCAGAAGCATATCAACAGGTTGGATTGCATGAAGAGGGATGAAGATTCGTAAAAAGAGCAAAATTCCTAGTCACATATATCTTCCATTTTGCCACCAGATATGACTAGTTTTCCTCATGCCACATCTGGAATGAAAAGCAACTTAAGCTTGGTAACACAAGGAAAACCAAAATATATTTACGAAAACCCACACCAAATGAAAAATCTCAACCGACCAAGGACCATGAATTAGGATATATTCCTTGTGCTGCATGTTCACTTGACTTTCCCTATCCTAACAATCTTTGATGAGTTCGTAATGAAACCAATCATAGCCTCTTGCGTCTGTAAAAGGAAACTCCATGAAAGCTGCAAGCAAAAGAAGAGAAGAACAAGAACAAAAGAGAAGTAATCTGGAGATGCAGAAAAAAGCTAACAGGATCCGCCAATATATAGAGAAAAGGAAAGGTAGCCTACAGAAGCCAACGACAACATTTGGTAATAAGAAAAAACTTATTTATATGCATTTTGTTAGCTAATCAGGCTCTTGTGGGTTTAAATCGATTTATTTGGGCATAATTAGGCGTTTTAATGCATGACTGTTCACTAGGGTATTTTGGGAATTAAATGAGCTAAATGATATATTCTTTCCATCCCTTTTTATAAGCAACCTTGGACTCTATCACACAAATTGAAAAGCAAGTTAAAGACAATAAATAAATGAAAATTGAAAGTTCTTTCTCCAGAATACCCTTATTTATAGAAGAGAGAGAGCATAAGAAAGAGAATAAAAAAAATTATTATAATAAATAGAATTATGCAAGAGGGAGAATGGGAAGGAGAGAGATGATGATTTGAAAAATGAGATAATAAATATATTGAGTATTAAAATAAGTAATTAATGGGAGCAAAATAGAAAATTTGCTACAAAAATTTAAGACAACTTGCAAATGTTGTTTATATTTAGGGACAAGAATGGGATGGTAGTTGTTGCTTATAAATAGAGAGCAAGGGAGTATTACTTGTTAATATTTGTAATTCTTGAATATTTTCTATTTATTTAAACATACGATATTACCTTTGTTTATTTAATTGGGTAGGTGATGACGTGGTGCCGCTTGGATTAAGGAGGGGCAAAGATGGAAATTCGTGGAGTGTAAGAGCAAAATTTTATTTGCCCTTGATTTTATTTTTATTAGGATATAAGTGGACTTTTAAGTTCTTTGTCATTTGGGCTAATTTAGTGTTGTCTATTTGAGCTAACCGATGTCTAAACATAAGGTTACCCATTACACATGTAAATAGTCTTACTTCAGCCCAATTCTTATCTCCAGGCCTAAGCCTCATTCCACTCCATCAAATATTAGGTTACGCGCCACGCGTTCCATATAAAAATTTTATCTCCCCCCCCATCGTCTTCTTCAACTTCCGTCTTTCCAACTCATCTTCTCTTTATCCCCACTCCATCAATATTAGGATGAAAATTAAAACTTAAGAATTTTTCAACATTTTTACAAAAGATTTAATTCATATTTTCATTTAAATTCTTAAAGAGCTGTAATCAAGACCTTTCTATTTTTGATAAAAGGATCAGCTTCATTAAAACAATATAAAAAGATTACAGTAAAAAAACCAGCCGATCACAGGAAAAAAAAAAGAGCAAAATAATCATCAAGACTCTAACGTTAATGGTTAAGACTATAAAATCAATAACTTTTATATAAGGTATGTATAAGGAATCCAAGACTTACCGAAACTTACACATTGACCCAAAAAATAATAATTCTCTTTGAAATTATTATTCATAATTAGAGCATTCGCTTGGTTCAAAGAAGCATCTATATAAAGGAAAAGGTGATCAGCAATCAATGCATTTGAGACAACACATAATTCATTTATAAAATATTCATTTTTTAGGGTTTTTTTCCCTCCAACCAGCATGTTTTCTCCTGAACTAGAATCAAGTTTGCAAAAGTAATGGATGGTCTTAAATATGTTTATGAAAAAGTTATTTTAGCAAGTTTCTGTAGAAAATACAGGTTAATACTTCGTGTTGAATGCTGATTATTTGGCATTAAATGCCTTTATAGGATCAATGATGATTATGTCGCCTACTTACATATGAGGAACCTTCTTGTAATTTCAATGTTACTAGTACTTGCTAATAAAATTTATGTGATTGAAGAAATTTATGTTACATTTCATACATAGAGATGGAATTTGGGACGGCCACTAAAAAGATGAAATATAGTAAGTTAATCTCAGAATTCATCTTTATTTCCCTCTTTGAGAAAGAAGTATTTAATATTTGAAAACTGTTTCAGTTGCTTCAACCTTCTAATCAACCATTCTCAGCTATTCATAAAACTTGTTTGTAGTAACTCAATGAATGATGAAGTATTTGAACGATAAGTAGTCATTATTTTTATATGCTTTGATATGACTCAACATTGTGGGAATTTAGAGCCAGTTTCTTGATAACCATGCAACAGGGAATGAGTATAGACTTGTGAAATCTGAGATCGTTGTACCCAAGACTTCTCATAAGCCCAATCAAAGCCTCTGGCCCATTACCCATAATTTGCCTAATAGTTCAAGTCCATATTAAACTAAAGCCCATTCATGGCAGTACGTTAGCTGCTTTCACACGAATAAGGAAACATCCACGTCAAAATCCTCTCTACAATTATATTTGGTGTGCATTTCAATATTATTCAATGGGTTAAAATGCTTTTTTTTCCAGAGGAAGCATTCTCATACGTGCCACGGCCACCCTAAAAACAACTAAGGAGGAAATTAAAAGAAAACGTAAAAAGAAAAAAATTAATGAGGCAAGATGCAATGAAAACAAATAGTAATAATAATAATAATAATAATAATAACCCAATCATGTTCCCAAGAAACATTTATTCAAACAAATATCTGGTAAGAGAAGGCAAATAGAGAACATGGAAGACATTATTACAAAGTCACATGACGCCATCGGACATACAGGCCTTCACAATTTGGTCCCTGGAACATTTTATTTTGGGATGACGTCGTAAAGAAAAGCCAAAACCACATACTCCTATGAATAATGACGTAACTAGAGTTTGTGCATATGTCTCAGGATCATACGCTGCACCGCCATTGTTGTTCAAATATGAAACCGCACACATACGAGTACAAATGTAGCCCATATGATGAAGACATATGGCACCAGATCAGGGCAGACCATGAATGATATTAATATTGCTAGGGCAAGAGATCCAGAAATAACATCTCCTGTAAATTGGTAGATGCAGTTGCATGCAATCAGAGCCCACATCCTTTTAGGGCTTTGCTCCATCACTAATGCATCAGGGTAGTGCTTCTCCACGATATCAGTCAACACTCGAATCACCTTATCAAAGCCTTCTTGACAAGGAACCAGCCTGCATGCTTAAGCATCAAATCAATTAACATGCTGCTTTATTCTTCTGCCCTTGGACAAGATGTGCATGGTTTGGTTGTAAACTAGTGTTGCGTTTTGACGGAAATAATACAAGTAGATTTGACTATTGGTTTAACAAAATAGCTACAGAACTAATTATTTGATGACTATCAGCTAGCATATGTGGCTTGGTTGATTTGGCTAATACGGAAAGAAAGGAAAGGACTGTTGCTGAGTTGTGGATTGCTAATGGGTAGGAGGTGGTGGAGAGCACACCTAAAGATGGTTATTTGAAGGTTAATTGTGATGGTGCCGATGACTTTGTGAGTGCTGCCATTGGTATAATCTTCAAGAATAGTGAGGGAAGTTTTCTTTGGGGGGTTGGAGATAAGGTAACAGTTGTGTATGCTTTTTCTACAGGCCATTTCTATGCCAAACATTACTTTAGTATCACAGGCCAACTTTAACTAAT